GTAAGTCAGAACTGGCGGTCAGTTTCAGCAGTGGCTGAATCTGGACGCCAGTTCCGACTTACATACAGATTCAACTTAAGAACAAACCTACAGTCCCTATCTTGTACGTAACCCGGGGACTGCCTGTATTTGTATTCCTTTAGTTCTGCCTAGATTAGTTGCTTCCATCTGGATAAATATGACGGCTTTTTCTATATTGATTTGCATGCAGTTTTTCAAACCCAAACTTAGTGCAAAACAGTTTTGGGACCTTTGCTAGCAAAGAGAGACACGCATTTTGGCAAACTTTCTCCCCAAAAAGGGGAATCCCCAAAAAGTGACTGAGCTGATAGAAAATGTCTATTGTAAGTCAATGAGTGTGGTGCTTTCATCAGTTCCTCCCACTCTTGCCTTTGCACATTTGTTTGTGTTGCCTGCTATGCATGGAACAGTATCCCAACTCCTGCTCACCTGCTGCTTAAAATCCTCTTATAAACTACACATCTCAGAATGTTTGTTTCATTGCTTTTATCACTTTTGATATCTCCATACCTTCCTATTCTGTTTGTCCGAATTTGTTTCCCCCCCCCCCCTTTTTTTAAAGTTGTTTATTGGTTGAAAGGTCTCTAGAGAAGAGAACCTGTCTCTCAGACCAGTGTTTTTTTTCAACCTTTTTCTTTCTGAGTGCCCCTCTCCCCATCGTCATGCCATAAAAACTCCACAGCCCACCTGCGCCACAACACTTGATATTTGACATATAAAAGCCAGAGCTGACATTAGGGAGTAGCAAACAAGACAACTGCCCAAAGGAATTGCATCTAACTGAAGGACTTGAAAGACAAGTGTGAATATAACATACCAAAGAGGAAGGGATGTGGATTATACATGTATGATTATGTGGTTACTCATTTGATATATACATACTTCTAGGAAGTACAAATTTGCTTTAAATACAAGTTTTCACTTTTTCTTTCAGATTTTTAGAGTTTAGTTTAGCTTCCTGCAGCTCCCATTGGCTGGAATGGTGAACCCCAGCCAATAGGAGCTGCAAGTGGCCATATTTGTGACACTCTGATAAACAAAGTGCCTGGTGGCCCACCAAGCGCTCACTTTGATTAATCGTATCCAGCCCACGGGCCGCTTATAGCTCACCTCTAAACTATCATATGAGTAGTCCACTACAGTCTAGTCCAGTCCCAGCTTTTCGCAATCAGAGGTTCAGAGTACAGAGTTGTGTGCCTGATCATCTCAGCTCATATCACTGAATACTTTTTTGACCCCAGTTATACTTTTGAACTTCACAACACCCTATCACAATGAGTTTAACAGGCTGACCATGCATGTTGAAGGAAAATGTTTGATCTCTCTTCATTTTAGCACTTCAGAGTTATTTGCCACCTTTGGCGGTGAATGTGGAGGGAGGAAATAGATTTTGATAGACCACTTCATTGTCTTTAAAGACACTGGGGTTAGCTGGGTCATCCTTCCCCCCCTTAAAATATACAGAGACATTGATAGAAGCACTAGTGACTCTTATCTCTAGTATTTGAAGTGGAGAGGAGGGAAGGGAGTCTCAGATTTCAATTTTCAGAAGAGGAGAGCAGAGCTGGGCAGCTCGAGAACTCTCTAGACATTTTCCCCACTCAGATGCAAAAGAGCACTCCATGGGCTGGTAGTGCTCCTGGCCAAGCTGCAAAAGTCCTGCTAGGTATGTGTTTACACAGCAGCAGGATCAAGACTTGGCCCCTCAGGATATGTAAAGTTAGATGAACGATTTCTCAATGCAGAGCACCTACTGTGAAGTTGCACATAAAAGAAGTGCATATAGGATAGCATGGATTTAGTTTAAATCTTTTGTTAAATCACAAACAAAATCTTTCATTTTAAGAAAACTGTTTCCAGTATCTTCTGGTAGAACTAACAGGTTCACTGGCAAAAAAATATTTGGTTTGTCAATTCTTGATCAATCCTACCAACAAAATATTGTTATAATAATATGACTCAAACATTACATCGATCAATTTACTGACTTGTTTATTAAAAAAAAAATCTCCAAAAATACAGAGTAACTGAATCATCATCTTAGATATACCAAAGACTGCTCCTCCACAAAAAATACGTAAGAAGAAACATTCATTATTCCAAATAGGTCTCAAAGAAACTTAACAGTGAACATTTTAATGAAGGTTGTGTGGTGTACTTACAGGTTGAGCAGACTAACAGTGTCCTCACCATAACTTCACAGAACAGCTTCCATTTTTGCTGTACTTTTGAGGTAATTGCTGGAATGATGATCTCTGCAGGAACGTAGTACTGAATTGAATAGGTCACAAAAATCCCAAAGGAATACAGAACTTTTACGGATTGGTACAACCTGTTCAAAACATTTATACAAAATCTGTGTCAGTTACAAATACTTTATAAAAAGTTAGCCTGTAGAGGAAAAAGTGGATTGTTTCATATAATGAATTATTTGGGAAAGATTCATAGAATCATAGGAAGGGAAGGGACCTCAAGAGGTCATCGAGTCCAGCCCCCCGCCCTCAAGGCAGGACCAAGCTCTGTCTACACCATCCCTGACAGATGTCTATCTAACCTGTTCTTAAATATCTCCAGAGAGGGAGATTCCACCACCTCCCTTGGCAATTTATTCCAATATTTGACCACCCTGACAGTTAGGAACTTTTTCCTAATGTCCAATCTAAACCTCCCCTGCTGCACTTTAAGCCCATTACTCCTTGTCCTGTCCTCAGTAACCAAGAGGAACAAATTTTCTCCTTCCTCCTTGTGACACCCTTTTAGATATTTGAAAACCGCTATCATGTCCCCCCTTAATCTTCTTTTTTCCAAACTAAACAAGCCCAGTTCATGAAGCCTGGCTTCATAGGTCATGTTCTCTAAACCTTTAATCATTCTTGTCGCTCTTCTCTGTACCCTTTCCAATTTCTCCACATCTTTCTTGAAATGTGGCGCCCAGAACTGGACACAGTACTCCAGCTGAGGCCTAACTAGTGCAGAGTAGAGCGGCAGAATGACTTCACGAGTTTTGCTTACAACACACCTGTTGATACAGCCTAGAATCATATTTGCTTTTTTTGCAACAGCATCACACTGTTGACTCATATTCAACTTGTGGTCCACTATGACCCCTAGATCCCTTTCCGCCATGCTCCTTCCTAGACAGTCGCTTCCCATCTTGTATGTATGGAACTGATTGTTCCTTCCTAAGTGGAGCACTTTGCATTTCTCTTTATTAAACCTCATCCTGTTTACCTCTGACCATTTCTCTAACTTGCTAAGGTCATTTTGAATTATGTCCCTATCCTCCAAAGAAGTTGCAACCCCACCCATTGCTATGTATAATTTTAAACAGATAGTTTGATTGGATATTTTAATGCTCTTCACCCTACTGCCCCACCCCCATGTTGCTTTTCTTCCTAGGCTCTGATCCTCCAGGAAGGGACTATGGCCTTAAGCAGCAAAGCACTTAAGTACACAGGTAGCCCTATTTACTTTAATAGGGACTCAGGCTAAGTCTACATAACAGAGCTTACAAATGACACAATTGTATTGATGCAACTGCACTTCTGTAAGGTCTCATGTAGCCACTATGCTGACAGGGGAGAGCTTGCCCATCAACATAATTAAGCCCCCTCCAAAGAGCATCAATAGGCCTGCTGGCAGGAGAACCTATCTCACTGATGTAGCACTTTGCACACTACCACTTATGCTTGAAAAATATATGTTGCTCAGGAGGTGGGTTTTTTTAAACAGCCCGAGCAATATACATTTTGCCAAATTAATGGTAATATAGGCAAATTCTATCTTATCATCTTAAAGATACACAATGCTTTAAGCCCAAACCTAACAAAGTGTTTATATGTGCATGCACAATATCAAGTACATGGTGGGAACTAGCAAAATACAAATAAAGAATAATGTAGCATAGTTCTTCTTGTTCCCTTTAAGGTTTACTTGGAAAAAAAAAAAAAAGAGCCACCATTATGTTATCAGGATTGTTGCATCAGAACTGGTCAATTTTTTAATATTACTTTAAATCATCAAAAATTGAAAGTACTTTAATAACATCAAACTTAATCCCCTTTTTCAGAACAAGGATTTTATGTTCATTTTAATACATACAGTTTTAATTTGCAAAAGTGCCCTTGTTCTGCACTCTATGAGCATGTATACCTGCTAAAAATGTAACTGCAATTAATGAATGGATCCCTATCAGTCAGAAGCAAGTGACCATCTAAATCTCACAAGTCCAGACCCTACAGGTGAACAAACTTGATTTTCAGAAAGTGTTTACTCGCCCTCTAAAAATATTAGATCCCTTAAAGAGCCAAATTGGGAATCCAAAAATAGAGGCACCTAAAATCTCTAGTCACTACTGAAAACTGAAGCTGTAGTTCTAGAATAATTTATTTCAAACAGGGTGCTTAGATTACTAAGCCATTCCCTGTTAGTTATCTGAGTGTTAAATGTATTGCACTGTTTTTGAAGCACTGTGGCACACAACATGAGCTTTATAAATCAATAATAATAAATATGCTAATAATTATAATTGTGAACAACAGAAAGAAAGCTGTGTAAAAGATCATGGGGGCTAGTGGATCTCTTATTTACCATAGCAGGACACAGTGGGATATTCAGAGCATAACTAAAAGAACATTGGCACACAGTGGTAGAGATATTCCCAGTTTAAAAAAAAATTATCTCCATGCTACTGTCACATTTACTATGAAATTTTATATTATGACTGTAATGCTAGGACACAGAGCCAATGAACCAATAACATGCATCAATTGAACTTTTACAAAAGATTGCTGTTAAAGAGGAGAATGTTACAAAGCAGACAAATTGTCAGGTAAAAGATTCCAGAGAGTTAGGTCAAATGTAAGTATGATCTACACTAGTAGTTCTCAAATGGAGGTACACAGAAGTCTTCTAGGAGTTACATCAACTCATCTAGATATTTGCCTAGTTTTAAACAAGCTACAGAAAAAGCACTAGTGAAGTCAGTACAAACTACATTTTCATACCGACAATGACTTGTTTATACTATTCCATATACTACACGTGGAAATATAAGTATAATATTTGTTGTCAGTCAGGCATCCTGATGGGTTCCTGACTGATATTCTGCTCCCTTAATGATGATAAACTTTTGGCTGTGTGCCAGTGCTCCCCTAACGCTTTAACCATGCACAATTAGTCAACATGATAGACTCCAAGAGAAATCCCAGAGACTACAAATCAGACAGGGTATGTCTACACTACAGCGCTAGTTCGAACTAACTTAGTTCGAATTAGTTAATTCGAACTAAGCTAATTCGAACTAACGCGTCTAGAACTAAAAACTAGTTCGAATTAGCGTTTTGCTAATTCGAACTAGCAAGTCCACATTGAGTGGACCCTGAACAGGGCTTAAGGATGGCCGGAAGCAGTGCCGGCAGGGCATCAGAGGAGGACTTAGAGCATGGAGATGCTGTCTCAGGCTAGCCGAGGGCTGCGCTTAAAGGGTCCCGACCCCCACCCCAGACAGACAGTTCTCAGGGGT